CACACACACACACACACAAACACACACTTACAAACACACACACACACACACACACACACACACACACACACACACACACACACACACACTTAAACACCCGTCTGTCCCCTTAAAATGGTCTTCTATTCCCTGACTCGCCATTGTCTCGCCAGTTCAGATCTCTATGTGGTTCTGACACCTGTCCGACCTAGCCGAATGTGTTAGATGGCTACATACATTGAAGGCATGGTGTTTATGGTTTTAGCAGTTGGCTTTGATTTCTCAAGAACAAACGTGCCCTTTTTTCATCTTTTCTCTCTGACAGCCGGGTCATTTTAACGAAAAATAACCCACTATAGATTAGATCACCTTTTCTTTTGCACGCAGAAAAGAAGGGGCAAGATAATCCAACTATTATGTCCTTGAGAAGAACATTATTTTGTCCCTCAGGCATTTTGAACGTCAAGTCCTTTAAGGGATCGAGTATCAGAAAAACAATAAATATTTTTTTACTGTCTCGTTTGATAAAATATGGTACTTATACTAAAATGGTGCGGGAAAAGATGACAGTTCCTGCTACGTCGCTACCTCAGATTTATACAAAGTTCTATCTGCTCAGTGGGCGAAAAATCGATTTCGGAACCGATTCCAACGACGGACGAAAAGTTCCGACTCTTTTCTACGTAAATCAGCGGTTACCATTTACTTTACATTAAAATCTTCTTTTATTTATAGAATTTATTTTTGAACAAGAAAAAAGCTGATGCTTCGTAGTATTCCGAAATCAAGGTTATCCTAAATCTTGAAGATGTTCGGAGCCAACCAGGTAACCACCGGAAGAAATCACATCATTAGAAATAAATAATTGGGTTCGAAGTCGATTCCTACGATTCCTAGTTTTCAATAATCGGGAACCTAGCCGCCCAGCACTACTGCTCAGTACCTAGCCTTGAGAAATTTGACGTTAAAATTTTGAGTTTCGTGATATTTCAATCTTTTTCGAATGCAATTTCTTGAATATTATCTTGATAACGACTCCGAATAATCTTTCGATTTCGATAGAGCAGATAGAGCATTTGAAGACAACAGGACTGAAAATCGTGAGGGCACCAATTTTGAACGCTTGATAACTCATAACTGTACAGTATTTCTGTTCAACTGTTGGTTGATTATTGTTTTAAGATTTCCTATTCAACAACACTTAACAATAAATCACTAGTCAAACACATAAGAAGTAATGAGTCCACAAGCTTGTAAAATTGGCACCCTCACAACTTCCTGTTTGTGACTACAGTCGTTTCCCCCCGTGCTCTTCATTAGGTTTCTGACCTCTTAGTCTGAATAACCCAAAAACGGCCAAACATGTCAGATAGACCTTTGTAATTCAAAACTAGCGTTGAGTCGAATCTAGGTATGAACCCATACGTTAAGATTGACCTCTACTGAATGTTCCTATTTCAAGAGTGCCTCATCAGAGATTCAAACTGGGGTCACCCGGGGCCGCAACACAGTTGAGCTTACTGTCAACTGAGATAACGGCACATATTCTTCCATAGAATAGATAAATCGTTTACTATCTTTGCTGTCATATCTGACGTTCTTTTTAAAAGTGACGTATTATATTAATTTTGACATCGCTCTAGACACAATAAATCAATACTTATATCGAGACGTGCGCCCTATTCAGAAAAATATTTGGGGGAAGGGGGGGGGAGGAGGTTCTGAACAAAAGTGTCAAACCCAAAGGAAGAACAGACAGACGTGTTACACAAACTTCTACACTGATAACTTCCTGAGTACAACAGTCAGAACTATTCATCTTGCTCTCTTGACAGTTCTACCATAACAGCAACCTCAGGGCTGACATTCACACAGGTTGCAAATATCAATACTATGTACGAAATAGTATCGTCAATCCACCCTTATCTTCATAAGGCAGAGTGGTACATGATATTTCCAAAGCGCACATCCCGATTAGAAACAGATTTGAGTCCAGGAATAGAGGAAATATCAAATAAACGAGTCTAATTAAACTCCAGTAAGGTTAAAAAAAAAAAGGCTAAAAATGGAGCCGAGAAAAGATTTTAGGATGTCTAAAGCCACACTATTATTGCCACGTGCCTGCCCAGCGCGAGTTCAGTATTATTCAGTTTGCTAAAACGTTTAACTAAACTCAGATTGCGGGTGGTTGGCGGGTGCTCTGGTGTGGTTTGCTCCTTCTTTCCTATCAGACATCTATCGTCCTTATCTCCCCCTCCTTCTTTTTTTTATGTTTGTTACTCTCTTGTAACACCTCTAATCTTCTGGCGCTCATATGACCTTACGCAGTTGCGAACGCCGTAAAATCTCTACTAGAAAAAAAATAAACTCAGATTAGATGGGGAACTTTAACTTCACTTTAATATTAAAATTATTAGAGCCTCCCCCCCTCCCCCGCCCCCCTCACAAGTGCCAGAAATGGAACAGACGATTGCGATCATGGTTCATTGCTGTTTTCTCTGTTTGGAAACGCTAAAAACGTATAAATATAGATCCCACTACATGTATATTATCCTGCTCTTTCACGGTCAATCATTTGTTAAAGCTTTCTAAGAAAGCTATCCTTAATTAGCCTTTCCTTTTCATCTACGCCAGTACAGTGACAGCAAGTTCACCTGAAACAAAACACGAATAATAATAATCACAAGAACCATATTTTCGTTTTGCCTGTTCCGAAAAGCAATAATTTAAAGTGGTTCTACATAAAGTCAGCTGTTACAATGAGTCATGAATCAGTTCCCCCGAACACATTATTTAAGTAGGTCACATTATGTCTATGCACGTCCGCTTAACTAAACAACACTTTCACTTTCAAGAACTTTCAGGAACTCCCAACGAGCCACAGAGCAAGTGAACTTCCACACAACACAAAGGTTACCACATAAAACGGGCTCATGTAATAGTTTCTCTCTCTCTCTCTCTCTCTCTCTCTCTCTCTCTCTCTCTCTCTCTCTC